TGTTTCATGCCACTAAACAGGTTTTGGTGTTTGCCTGTAAACAACATTCACCACCTCTTCTTTTGTTTATAGCATCGAATCAAAGCATTTTTAAGTATCATCAAAGAGTCGCTACGCTTTATTTCAGTGCATTCTTGGTTGGATGCTGTTCTCTGATCATTTATGTGAACATTTCAGCTTAACAGTCAGTTTAATAGACCGACAGCGCGCTTGTTTTGGAAATGTGGTGGCACAGAAAAGCTCAAATGAAGACCATCTGGAACATGAATAAAAGTTTTAAAGCAATGTTAATGATCAGTTATAGAAATATATAATATTTAGCGGTTTGATTATTGGGTGTGATAATTGTGCACAAATCAGTTGGAGATTTCACCCTCGGTGTACAAATAACTGTTGCAGCAGTGTATGAAGCTAAAGATATCTTAAAGAAGATCAATCCATCTTTATTTCACACTCAGTGGTCCAGGAAAAAACAATAAAGGTACATTAAACGCATCATTATTTTCTCACAAACAGACAGCTGTACCAGTGCGTCCATATTAAAGATCGTATCATTATTACCATTAGTTTCCACATGAAGAGTGGCGTAAGAAGATGTTTGCTTGTGCATTTGTATCATTTTCCCCTAAACATCTTCATCATCTGTCGTTTGATCTGTAATGACGTGTCTAAGATATGCGAGCTAATTACAGAAAATCGGGTAATCTGATGAGCATGTGTCCTCTGTGGTTTTACACATCATTATAAAACCCCAATTCCCAAAAAATTGGCACGCTGTATAAAATGTAAATGACAACAAAATGCACTGGTTTCCAAACACAGGCGATGTCAAACATTTAAATTGAGATAATGTCTCTCTTTAAGAAAAATCTTTGCTCATTTTGAATTTGAAGGCAGCAAAACGTCCTAAAAGTTGTGACGAGGCAACAAAAGGCTGGAAAAGTTAGTGGTGTTTAAAAGAAACAGACGTTTAGGTTAATGTGCAACAGGTCAATGACTTGATTGGGTTTAAAAATAGCATCTCAGAGAGGCAGAAGTTCAAACTGCATCGACAAATTGTGGAACAAATTCAGAAAAATGTTCATCAGCATAAAATGATGAAGACTTTGAATATCTCATCATGTACAGAACTTAATATCATTAAAGGATTCAATGAACCCAGAGAAATCGAGGCTGAAAATCTGTTATTGGATGCCTGCGATCTTCGAACCCTCGGTGCTGTCAAATTTAAAAATAAGCTAATATGTTCCTTAAAATGTTGAGTTTTCTTGAGAAATGGAGAGCACCTACTTTGTTGTTCCCTCATAGAAACTTGTGTAGAAACAAATACGAGTCCAATTTCTAAGCTTCAGAAGAAAGCTATAAGAATTATAAATGGATTAAGGTTATTATTCACCAATTACACATTACTAATTATTTATTAAACTACATTAATTCACACTTTTTCACCCTGCACACGTGATGTACAAAATGATCTACCTCCAAACTGTATTCACGGGTTGTTTAAACCATATTTGAAAAAAGTACAGTTCAGGACGATTTACAGGTGTACGTCTGCAGTAGGGACACAGCAAGACGAGGTAAATAAATATTAAACTGTCGACATTTGCTTTATTTTTATCTTGTTTGGTTTTGCTTTAAAGGTGTATAAAGTATGCTGTGTAAATGGAATAAGGTGTAATTTTCTATAGCACGAATTGAACCTTTTAGTCAGTTTGTGCTACTAATTTCAGTTCTATTTGTCTGTTGTTGTTTTTTCCTTCTGTAGCTGATGTAAGATTTAAAGCACTTAACACTGACCAAAATAAGACTCTGTGTGATCTGAGTGCTGCACAGAACACTCGGACATCAGGACAGCAGCTTAAATATTCTCTGTGGTCGGATGTGTTTGATGTGCACAACACAGTCAGAATAAATATTTGTCTTGATTTTGTTTTTCAGAGATTTGTCCCAATTGGCTCCGATCTCTCGTCTGGTCCGCCTTCTCCGCTGCAGGACAGTTGACTTGCACCACAGCTGCAGTGTTTGCTTTCACTGTGAAACGCCGCTGACTTCACTTTACAAATATTTGTCGAACACTGCTCCAAAAAGAAAAAGGGTATATCTAAATTATACTGTTTTTCTTTCATAACTACAGACACTTGTATGTTTTTAATAAAGTAGATTAAAAGTTATCTTTTTGGGACCTAGGTCCAATGTATGTGTTGGAAAAAATATTTTTTTAAAAGGTCAATGAAGAGATCAGTGCTGTTGGCTGTAGTGTACATGTGGATCAATGGTTAGGATCTCTGTGATGTACAGTGTTTATAATAAATAGTTGTTACTGTCTGGCCATGTGTGGTTTGTTTTGTTTTTTTTAAGCACATACACAATTTAAGATTTGTTGATTTGGGAAGTAATCTCAGGATTTGGCCCCATGATAAAAACGAACTTTGAATAGTGTCAGACAAATATTTGTTTCATGTCTTTACCTTCAGTTATTTCATGTTTGTGAAGATGATGCTTTAAGTTTGGTTAAGATTGACAGTTTGCTATATTTTAGAGAATGAAGTAGTGGCGCTATGGTGTAGAGGTTTGCACATTCGTTTAATGCCACAAAGATCCTTAGTTTGGTCCCGGGAGGAGACACAAATCCCTTTGAAGTTGTGTCAGGTAGAATGTAAAAGTCTCCCAAATCACACATCTGGAGCTACCTGCTGTGCTCCTGTGAATAAGAGAGCTGCTGAAATCATCATTGCCCCACTCACATGTAGCACTGAGATATGGAAACGACACTTCAGTGATGCAAAATCTCAGACTGACTTGCATTCTGCACTTTGTTTCTTGGCCAGATATAAAGGTTAACCATTTTTCTAGAAACATGCAAAGCATCCTGTTCAGTCATGTGATGAGGTGTCCTGTTAGGAGTTATGGAGTAATATATGAGAAATGTAGCCAGCTGCTGAAGCACCTCTGCTCCCATGGGCTGATTTCATCCCCGTCCAGAGGTTTGCATGAAGCAAGTTTTGGTGCTTAGTGAGGTAACATCAAGATTAAAAGCGGTTTTCATGGAGGTACATCTCATGCTGAACTAGACTGCAGACCTAACCTGCACAGGAGCAACAGGAGAAACATTATGGAGGTTATATGTACCTTGTGTAAATTATGCAAAGAAAAATCTACTTAAATTTGTTTTGTTTTTTACTTTTCCCCCCTTTACTCTCACACCACTGAACACTGCCAGAGTTAAAGCTGAAACCACCCAGCACACATTAACTTAAATTTAATTAGTCCAATCTTTTATTGATCATGAATAAGTCTTGATTGATTCATTACTTGCCAGTTTCCTTGGTGACTTTCAGCTCTTCTGATAAATGCCAAAAGCACAAATACAGGTTCATACAGACCCAATTTAAGAAGGGACGCATGTATGGGGCACCGCAAGTGCCAAACTTAAATAAATAAATACATGATTAAATAATTATTAAATAATTTATTTATTTAAATGTTAAATAAATAAATAATGTATTAAAAACATAATTAATTTCTTATATATGCCATTAAATGTGTGTAATGTGAAAGCCATAAATTATTTATTAAATACATAATTATAATAATAACAATAAATGATGAAATTTGTAATTATTGCATAACATATAAATTCATTTTTCCTAAAAAGAACAATTGATTTATTTCACTATTTAATTATTTTAGGCTTACGAAATTACTTAAACTTTCAGAGCATGTGATTGGTTAGCCAGTACAGTCAAGACAGAAAGAGCCCTGATAATGAGTCAATGCAGTGTCACAGTCAGTTGAATAGGTGGTGGTGTGGACTCGTTGCATTTGAAATGAAATTACCAACAGCAAAGGCAGAGGAAAGCAGCTCAAACTGTAAGTAAAATTGGGAAATACTGTTCCTGTTTCACCAAATACACAAGCTTTTTTGGGGTGAGAGTGTAGTGGGATTATTTTTAAATATCTTGTTGATTTGTTGAGGTAAAGCTTATTTATTAAAGTGCTCTAATATTTTCCTTTACTCCAGAATGAATGTTTTTAATATCTATCCAGCTTAATTCTAAACTCTAGCTGTGAGAATTATGTGTAAATGTATAATGCTTTACAGAGAAATCTACAGAACAGTCTGTTGATGAAACAATATTATTTGATATACTGATGTACCATTTTTTTACTGCCTTTTTCATAATTAGTCCAGTCATTACACATTAATGGACCTTTTATTCTTAAACATCTTGCCAGATACATGATATATGTTTTAAAAAGACAAATAAGTAGGTCTGTTCTCTGCTATTTTCATTTCATTTCATTCAAATATTATTAAATATTTATTCATGCGTACAGTGATTTTTGTGTATTTTGAGGGCTCACACGCTCATGCTTCACAAGTAAAACAATTTTACAAATGTACATCCAAACCTGAAAAAATCTACGCACAATTTATTCAGTTCAGCTCATGAATCTGATCATTTCTCATTTCAAAATTCTTTCTGTGTGTACAACTGTCTAAAACCACACCTACCATCTTTCACTCAGTTACAAAGCCTTAAATATATGTGGACGAATCGCTTTATACGCACTTACAGGCACGTTGCATGACCACATGGGGTTTTGAGACAAATTTAAAGCTGTACAATCTACAAATGTAAGATGCATTCAAGTCACAGTGTAAATAATTATTTAAATAATTATTGAAAAATTATTTCAATAATTATTTAAATGAATGTTTTCTACGATGTATTTTTGTTATTTCATTTTGGCACTCTTGCCACTCCATACCAATTGAGGGTCATCGCTCCACGCAGCTAATATAATTATGCTTTTAAATCATGCTGCATAAATAAATAAGAGCATATTTGAAACGTTTTGCTAAAAGACAACTTTTTTATATAAGTTAAAAAAATAAATAAATAAAATCTTTGTTTACCTGAAAGCCAATTCTAACCCGTGTGCTTTTATTTGAAGTATAGACTTCTACTTCCGGGTCACGTTCCTTACATTTTTTTCTTCTTTTCATTCTTCTAAGCGAAACACAAATACCCCCAAAGCACAAATTGGTCTTTTTTGATAATTTTGATTTCTTGTTTTCGGTTTGTCGTTACTGACGACAAAGACAAAAGCCGGCCCTGAATTTTCCTTCTCGCTTTAAAACGAAAAAAAACAACAAAAAAACTTTCTTTTTTTTTTCTTTTTTTCCATTTTTGGCTCTCAGGAAACAAAAAGCGAGCTGCGCGAACATCGGACCAAACCGCTTTTATTGTGAAACTAGCTTCTCCACAGGTATTCTGATTAAAGTTTTGTCGGGTTTGGGGAAAAGTTTTTGTGCCTTTACAGTTTAGCGAGGCTTTATTTGAAGAGCTTTTCTGTTATATAGATGCTTTTGAGAAAACTGATGAGAAATGAATGATGTGCGTATTTTTTTATTTATTTCGTTTTCGTTTTTTAAAGCAAAAACTAAAGTCATCAAAAATCAAGTAGTTTAATAAGCATCAGGTGCAACTAAGCATAATGTGAGATGAGATCTGTGACCATGCTGTCTCACTGTGCAGAAAAGCTGTTTGGAGAATTTGCAAGCATGAGCTGCTTCTTGTGTGTGTTTCATGTCCACACTTGTATTGGACCAGTCAGAAACTCTGATTTTATTCCTAAACAGTTTCATCCCTGAGACATTTACTCATGGGGTTGGGTCTATTGTCTATTGACGACCCACATGTTTCCCTCAACGTGGCATGTTGAATAGAAGCAGCAAAGCACCCCCACGACGGATAACCTCCACCTCCATGCATGTTTTCTTTTGGGGGTTTCTGTGTTTGGTGGGGGTCGGGACCCCCCACGTCCTCCAAACACTCAAAAGTGTACTGAGTCATAAAGTCAGATAGCTGGCAGTGGTTTTCTTCCTGCTGCAGATAGTAGAGTCATAAACACTGACCTTCGCTAAGGTGAGAGAGGCCTGAGGGATCCTTTGATGGTCACTTAAAGGAAGTTGTTGTCTTGCTTTTGGGGGAACTTTGGTAACTTTGCCTGCTGTTTGTAGACAATGGGTTAGTCTGTCTCAAATCTTCAGATTTTTAGGTCATTTTCTGCTCACACACCTATGATTTGTCTTAAAATGATTTTTTTTTCTCATAAATTTGAACCTTTATAATATTTCCGTTTAAGGTTTAGCTTTGTATACATTTCAGAACTCCTTTTGTTTTTGCACGATTAAATCTGAGGTAATGTTTGAACATGAATCCTGATTCACTTTTATTATACAAATCAGTTAAAATTTCAGGCTTTCATCTTAAATGATTTTTGAGATATTTATGTTTAAACATTGAGTGATGTATACATTCAAACTTTGGACCATAACGTTTTTAGGCTCATCAGAGATGGGCGAGCAGGAGGCCCATGGTGATCTTAGATGGAGGGGCCCTAATGCCTCTTATTGTGGGCATGTGGAGGGTCTCAGTGCCTTACAAATGTCTTTGTAACCTTTCATAGACTGATTATTTTAAATAAAACTTCCCCCAGTCACCCAGAAATCCCTGTGATTTTTGTCACAATGTGCTTCTGGTGAGAACTTCTCACCAGAAGTTGTCTAAAGGGCGTCCTTTTGAAAAAAGTCTGTTTACTGAACAGGGCTGTTACCAGTCAGGCCTGGGTGTGTCTTCCAGCTTAGCTAGTCAGATTAAAACAGGTTGGTAGTATTTTGGATTGAGCAGCTAAGTAGGTGTGTGGGTACTTTTTTATTTTTTGTAGTCAAACCGTTTCCTGCCACGTGCAATGTTTTTCTCTCTCTTGCTGTTTATTGCAGGTGATCCCTGCACCCGATTATATTTAGTCGAGCTGTGGGAGGGGGCAGGGTCAGGAACAGTAGTCTATAAAACCAGTGGATTTACTCGGGCTCCCATGAGAAGACAGTGAAGGAAGAGCACTCTGTACTTTTCTTCCCCCCTCTTATCAAGGCCACCTGTCTGCCCGGTCCCTCTGGAAACATGTCTGAGGACCTCCAACCAACTGTGGACCCCACGAAGATGGGGGTCGGACGATCCATTGCCGTGCTGACGTCAGGAGGAGACGCTCAGGGTAAGCAGAGGAATGAGGCTTTGCTTTATTTTGAGCATAAAATGATTCTCAGTGGAGGGTGGAAAAACGATCAGACAGCATCTTCTCCTGATGTGTCTGATCACTGAAACCCAGCAAGCTGTTGAAGTCCTAGTTTCTCTTTGTCTCGTGGATGCTAATAGAGTATCATTTTATGCTCTCACTGCACAGCATTTTAAATAAGATCAGAAGCCAGAGAATATAAAGGGCTAGCAACATTTTTTCCAGTGCTGAATGACAGCTGTCAGAGGCTGACGGAGTTTTGGCTGCAAGTCCCATTTGAAGTCCAGCACATGATAGGAGGATTACATCTTGGATTAACTCCACCATCAATGCCTAATGTTACACTGCTCGTAATGTCTCAGAGTAGAAGTGTGGTGGGGGTTAAAACTGGATGAACTCAGATTGTTTAAAGGTTCAAGTCCAAGGTGTTATTATCACTGCTTTTATTCAAGTAGAATAATGTGGACTACGTGAGGATCACAGTGAATATGAAACACTAAATAAAAACTTTTCTCTTTCTCTCTATTTTTTGTTTTGCTTCTCCTGTGAATCCTTCTGGAGCTTTTTCCGCCTCTTCTTCCCCTTGTGTGTTCCCTTATTTTACATATTTGGAGCTAATCTTAGTGGCAGTGACCTTTTTCTGGTATGGACAAGAGAAACACCCCCAACCACAGCTGCTGTCTATTGAAACAAGAGCTGCAACATGCCAACAGCCACAACACAAAGTCCCACAGTGGCCTTTAGTGTGCCGGACTTCAAGGGCCAAGATTATGCACAAGATGCACTTTTCCCTTATGGCTATTCTTGGCTTGACATGTGCCTGTGTGCACACTAAGTCAATTAAAGGTTAAGATAAGGCCCGACAGTGTTCGGGTGATATTTGATAGAAAGTTTGAAATGTTCAGTCATCACAGATCAGATCATTTGTGTGTTTTTAGGCATGAATGCAGCCGTGAGAGCCACAGTCAGAGTCGGCATCTACACTGGAGCCAAAGTCTACTTTGTCCATGAGGTATTTGAGCGGCATACAGGTGACATGTCGGCATCAGAATACAGCAATTAAATATAAGATGGAGACACATAGGAAAGAGTTTCCTGTTAAAGTCATGACAGAGGCCATCAGCTCAGGCCTGACGGTGTATGTTGTCATGTGTTGTAGGGCTACCAGGGCCTGGTGGATGGAGGAGAAAACATTTGTCTCGCTACATGGGAGAGTGTGTCTATGATGCTTCAGCTGGTGAGTGATGTACAGCTGAATAAAGACCCGTATTTATTGTACCATGGAGAAGACTATTAAAAATGCTTTTTTTAATATATATTGTAGGCTCATTTCTATGTTAAGGATTAATATTTAAAGAGTCAGCCTTGACAAAGAAATCAACAATTAACAGGCCAAAATTCATTCTGATCGGTTCATCTTTTGTCAGTTTTTAGGATCCTAAGTTGAGTTTCTCATTACAATCGATGTTTATGCTGATAACAAAAGGAAGCAAATAAATACCTAAAAAATGAAGGAGGGAGTTTGTCAGCCTCAGGCTGACTAATCTGCAAAACACTGCATCTACAAATTGTGGAAAAATGTTCCAGCAGCTACAATCCTATGTCAGACAAGAGCGGGACAACTTTCCTCTCCCAGAGGTTCCCCAGCTGGTCTCAGTTCCCAGATGTTTGCAGACTGTTGTTAAAAGAAGAGGGAATGCCACACAGTGGTAAACTTGATCCTGTCCCAACTTTTCTGACATGCTTTGCTGTCATCAAATTCAAAATGAGCTAATATTTTTCTTAAAATATAAAATTTTCCCACTTTAAACATCTGATATATTTTCTGTGTTCTATTGTGAATAAAATATACATTTATGAGATTTTCTAATCAGTGGATTCTGTTTTTATTTACCTTTTTTTGCAGCATCGCAACTTCTATGGAAGTGGGTTTGTGGTAACAAATGGATGCTTCTGTAAATGCTTCTGATATCACAACAAGCTGAGTGATGACATTAAACAAGTGACTCTCCCCTGTGATTTAAGGATCGTGGTAATACTGAAGGGCATCATTCATAGTTATTTGTCTAAATACAGCAGTCTGGCAAGGAGTGACACACTGACATTTATGAAGTGTGTGTGAATGGCAGCAGAGGCTGCGGCAGATTTCTAAGATATCGTCTTTACTCGTGATGCAACCTCACTCCATGGGAATCCAGGCCACCCTAATGAGCTGTTATAAAGCTGACCCGATGATATCTAACTGTTATGGAAAACACTGTTGGGTTAATTGTCTGTCAATGCTGCATTAACGTTTTCAAAGCCAGTTATAAAAGCTTCTCCTCTTCCTGTGTTAGGGTGGTACTGTCATCGGCAGCGCTCGCTGCAAGGACTTCAGAACCAGAGACGGTCGTATGAAGGCCGCCTGCAACCTGGTGAAGCTGGGCATCACCAACCTGTGTGTAATCGGTGGAGACGGCAGTCTGACGGGAGCCAACGAGTTCAGGACCGAGTGGAGCGGGCTGCTGGTTGATCTGGTCCGAGCAGGTAAAGAGACAAACGAGGCTGCGAGAATCGTGAATGTGTCAAATCTTTCAGCCTCGTCTTTTTGTGTCTGACTAAATCTGTCTGTCCTCGTCTCTCTTCCAAGATTAGCTTCTAATTCATCACAAAAAGACGGGGTAGGGGAAAATAATGAAAAGCATGTGCATTCACTAGGAATATACAGTGGTGTGCTTTGTTTTGACCACTAAAAACTAAATTTGGGAACGTTTCCAAAATGCTGCATAAAGTTTAAATTTATAAGTTAAAGCCTCAGTCACAGAACTCATACAAGCTCCAGTAAGGGCTAAATAACTGAATTTTACATTTTTTTCCACTCACTATGTGGTTGGCAATAAGCATTTTACCCTAGCAACCAGTAGATACCAAGGGGTTGACAACCAGTCTCTAGGCCTGTGCGTCTGAGGCTGCAAGAAAGAAAGATAAGAATAAACTTTATTGTTCCACTTGGAAATTTGTCTTGGACAAACGGCGCTAAACATAGCTGCATTCGCCTAATGAAAACCATGAAAATTAAAAATGGGGATAAAAACAAACAAACCAATGTTTGTATCATCAGATTATGTATCATGTCTGCAGGTAAGATCACTGAGGAAGAAGCTAAGAAATCGTCCCACCTCAATATTGTCGGCATGGTCGGCTCAATCGACAATGACTTCTGCGGCACTGACATGACCATCGGTACTGACTCGGCACTGCACCGCATCATTGAGGTGGTGGATGCCATCACCACGACTGCACAGAGGTCAGACCCCACTGTGCATTCAAAAAGTGAATCTGTAAACCAAATTAATAGTTTGCACATATGTACAGGTAGAAAACTCTAGAAAAAAAAAAAGGTCTTTCTTATGCCTGTCAGTTTATAGTGGATATACTGATTCTGCATATTCATTTTTTTCAAAATCCACAGCCACCAGAGGACATTTATCCTGGAAGTGATGGGCAGACACTGTGGGTCAGTACTCTATCTGTGTGTGTGTCATTAGTCTGAGAGACTATTATATTTGCGTGACTATTTATTCTCATTCATGTTTGCAACAAGTAGTTACAGTGCATAACATAACGAACTCTCTCCAGTTACAGTCTTCTTATTAATATGATGCTGGTGCACAAATGACCTGAATGCCTCTGTATTGTTTGTGTCAGTGGACTGGTGGGATCTTGTGACTGTCAAAGAGGTTTTGTGATTTAAAAGTACAGCCGAAAAAACATGTTCCTGTGGCTACGTCTATGAATCAGGCTGCTTAACTGTTTGTGTTTGCACACATGCGTGCAGTTACCTGGCTCTGGTGACGGCTCTCGCCTGTGGAGCTGACTGGGTGTTCATTCCCGAGATGCCGCCAGATGATGGCTGGGAGGACCACTTGTGCAGGAGGCTGTCAGACGTAAGTGTTTCTTCATTTGAAGATACCCACATCCTCTCTTTGCATGCATATTTGTACTTTTATCTCTGTTATTTTTATTTTTATTTTTTACTTTAGCAAAGAGCCCGTGGATCTCGACTAAATGTGATCATTGTGGCCGAGGGCGCGATGTGCAAGGATGGCAAACCGATTACATCTGACCAGATCAAAAAGGTAAGCTGTATGGTTCTTACTATTGTGCGAGTATTATTGTAAGCTATGCTGACAGTATACTGAACAAAGAGCTGGATTTGTTTGTGTCCAGTTGGTAACTGACAGACTCGGCTTTGATACCCGCACCACTGTTCTTGGACACGTGCAGAGAGGAGGAACACCCTCTGCCTTCGACAGAATCCTGGTGAGTGTCCCAGTAAAACGCAGAGTAGAATCCACACAGTACACAGCTCTACTTCTGCCTCTACTGAGGCTCCTGACTCCTGAGGAGTGTACTATGAAGTAAGAATTAATGGAGTAGTAAACCATAGTGAGCTAAAAGTCTGAGTTTCCTTAAAAAAAAGTAGCTTTTAAATGGCTAAATCACCATGATAACTTACCTTGAGCACGTAACCTGGTCTGGAGAACATTTTTAATACATTTCTTTTATTTACAGCATATAAAGCAGGATATAGAGTCTCTGCTAGGAGAACATGTTTTATATGTACAAGCTGTACAGAGGGTGCAGTCTGCAATAAAATAAACTTGAATTATTTTACTCCTCTGTGCACTAAATCACCACATTAACAGTTTTCTGCAGCATTAATTTCCTGTCTTATTTGTAACAGTGTGTTTACATTTTACTGTAATATTTTATCTTTTTATCTTTATATATTTGTAGTCACCATTTCATTATCATCATCTGATAACATCTGTGAGTGGAGTAGGTGACGCTCATAGGGATCATTTTATACAGAAGAGTCATATAATCCGCGTTTTTATTAGATGCGCATGAACGAAGCCTGAAGGGCTGAACTGGGTCAAGAAAGCTAACGGAAAGAAAGCCTAGCTGTGTTGAACTTTCTTCGTAGTACACCCTCTGGTGAACTGGCTCTGTTGGTTTCCTCTAGGGCAGCAGGATGGGAGTGGAGGCGGTGATGGCATTGCTGGAGGCCACCCCAGACACTCCCGCCTGTGTGGTCACCCTGTCGGGGAATCAAGCCGTCAGATTGCCGCTCATGGAGTGCGTGCAAGTGGTACGTCAGAGTATTTTCACCCAAGGAAAAAGATGATTAGTGTGTTGCTTTGCCTGTTCTGAGGGATATCCATTAACACTACAATGACTTTACGCTTTACAGACAAAAGAAGTGACTGCTGCCATGGCTCAGGGCAGATTTGACGATGCCATCAAGCTCAGAGGAAAGTACGTGTTTCACAGAGAGTATTAGCAATAAAACATTTAAGTGATCGACTAACTTTGCATAACTATGGAGCCTGAATTGTGCAGCTTCAGGCTCTGCCAATGTCATCTGCTCTGTGGGCTGAACAAATTAGACATTAGATGGCACATGCAATCAATTAAAAAACTTTAAAGTAAAACTTGCAATACCATTTAAATATTAAGTAATGCCTAATAACAAAAAGGAAAAATCATTAAAATACTGACTACAATAATTTTATATTGTTTATTCTGACTAAACACTGTAAAAGTCTAACAGCTGAGCCGTATTTTTAATCTAGCTAATAACCCACTAACCCTCCTTTATGATGTGTAGGAGTTTTGAAAACAACTGGAATACGTACAAGCTGCTGGCTCACATCAATCCTCCAGATACTAAGGTGAGCGACCTTCACCTTCTAAACCAGACTCGTCCTGACTCCCTGTTGTTACTGAATCATATTAAAGGACCTTCAGCTGTCTCATTGTCTCCATCTGTCGCTGGCAGAGTAACATCAATGTGGCCATTATGAATATCGGCGCCCCCTGTGCTGGTATGAACGCTGCCGTGCGTGCAGCGGTGAGGATGGGCATCATCCAGGGTCACTCCATGCTGGCAGTCCATGAAGGTTTCGACGGTCTGGCTCAAGGACAGGTAATAATTTTTTTGGTAATCTGTTATCCTTTTAAACCAGAGAACCAGTGTCACACGTGCAAGAATCTTCTTCCTACTTCGGTTACGAAGACTAGAACTGCTTTTTGTTGCCTCTGGTGTTTTGTTCCCTGTCAGATCAAAAAATATGAGCATAAAACATCCATCAAACAGCGACGACAACTGTTATGTTATCGCACGTGGTGGTCACAATGGCAAGATATTAAGTATGAATGGCGACATACATGCAAGACATAAAAAGGCTAACAAAGCACTGAAAACACATGTTAGAAGAAAGATCAATGTGTACTTTAATGAGCACCACCAAACTGGGAGGTGGTTCCACAGAAGAGGGCCTGAAAACTAAGGGCTCGGCCTCCCATTCTACTTTTAAATACTCCAAGAATCACAAATAAGCCTCCAGTCTGAGAATAAAGTGCTCTTGTAGGATAATTATGGGGCCTGATTATGTATGTGAGGAGAAGGATTTTAAAAAATATCCCTACATTGTTGTTGTTGTTGTTAACTGCTGTTATTAACAACCAGTGTTCTTGCTTTGTAGCATCAGAGAGAGAGAGAAGTTGCTGTGGTGAAGTTGTTGACTGGACTCAGTACTGTGTGTGTGTGTGTGTGTGTGTGTGTGTGTGTGTGTGTGTGTGTGTGTGTGTGTGTGTGTGTGGCATTAGTTGGTTCAGTTGTTGTTCAGTTGATTAGCCCGGAATTTATATTGGGAGCAATATAAACGCCCCTGTACCCATGAAATTGGAGCTATTCCCATTGAAGCCCTTTTTGCATCTATGTGTCACGTAAAGAAAAAAATAAAAAACGGGCCTTTCAAAATAAAAGACCTCTGCTTCTCTTCTGTTTCTATTGGGTGGGGTCAAATGCAGATACATGCTTTCAAATAATTCAAGTAAGTCATTGCTTTCATGTGTGAGTACTGTACTTTGTCTTCCAATAGTTATAAGTGTTTTACTTTTATTATATAAGCTCAGTTAGATCTTCCTGTTCACTACAGATCGAGCCCATTATCTGGACTTCTGTGAGTGGCTGGACTGGAAAAGGAGGTTCAATGTTGGGCACCAAGAGGTAAAAATATGCATTTTTGTTTATTTGATTTTTTTATTTGGAAAATAAACATGTATCCTGTATTTTCTCGTGGCTTCCCGAAGAACTCTTCCAGGCAAAAGGTTGGAGGAGATCAGCCAGAACATCGCCAAATTCAACATCCACGCTTTGGTGATCATTGGCGGCTTTGAGGTAAGAAGTGGCAGAAGGCTTTGTTTCTCTTCTGCTCATTCAAAGTGAGCAGAAGTTCCTGAAACTAGAAGCACAGAAAAAAATGAATCTGCGTCTCCTCTTTTGCTGCAGGCGTATGTTGGAGGCCTTGAGCTGGTGCAGGCTAGGGAGAAATATGAGGAAATGTGCATTCCCATTGTGGTTATCCCTGCCACCGTATCCAACAACGTCCCTGGCTCTGACTTTAGCATCGGTGCTGACACTGCCCTGAACACCATCACCTCCGTTAGTGGCTGAACAGCAAATATATACGCACATGCACAAACATAAATTAAAAAGGAAGCAGTTTATCTTTTACTTTCTGGTTTGTTTCTCTGCAGACCTGTGACAGGATCAAGCAGTCTGCAGCAGGCACCAAGCGCCGCGTGTTTATCGTTGAGACTATGGGTGGATACTGTGGCTACTTAGCCACCATGGCAGGTCTGGCTGCTGGGGCTGATGCTGCTTACATCTTTGAGGAAAAATTCGACATTAAAGATCTGGAGGTGAGCTGAAAGTTGGTAAAGAAGAGGGCATGGCCATCAAGTGTGAGTTCATTGCTTGAAGTGACTGTCTTAAGAGGGCAGTTTCTTCCTGAGGACAGAAACATAATGAATTCGTTGTGTTGCACTCTTTTGGTTTCAGTTTTCTGTCTTTAAAGTTTATGGAGTCTGAAAAGTAATTAGGTGAACTTTTGCTCACAGGCGAACGTCCAGCACATGGTGGAGAAGATGAAGACAATAGTGAAGAGAGGTCTGGTGCTCAGGTAGGTTTTGTTCTGGCAGGGAAAAGAAATGAAGTGCAACAGGAAGAAGGTAAATACCTGGTATAAAACCAGTAATCTGGTTAACTGCTACTGAGTAAATCTTCGGAATATCCAGTTGTTGTAACCCTCCGGTCATTGTGAATCACTGATTTAGCAGAGCATCAATCACAAACTCACAGCGAGTGCTTCAATTTTCTGTAGTACAAACACCAAAAACTCAGGATATTCAAAACAATAAGAACCCAGGAGACGAGTTCTTTTATACAACAGGCAATTTTAACTGAAAGCATGTCATTTCAAAATAGGAAAGTCACGGTTTAAATAATAAAACTAGTAAAGAATTTTATTTATCTGCTCTAGTTTGATTGGCTCACTGTCATAGTTGAATTCAAATGAGCCATTATTACACCTTTACAATGTCTGCTGTGAACAGGACCCATAATTCATGCTCTGAAACCAGATAAAAGTCCATTTATTTTCAGGCAACAGCAGAATAATTTACTGTTCATTGTTCAAAAGGAATGAAAGCTGCAATTCCAACTACACGACTGATTTCATCTTCAGCCTGTACTCAGAGGAGGGAAAAGGCATCTTTGACTGCCGTAAGAATGTCCTTGGACACATGCAGCAGGTGTGTTCATGAGGGGAAATGTCCAAACGCAATAATTGGTTTGCTCCTCATTTTTCTGTGATTTATTCTAACTGCGTGTCCTCTACCAACTGCAGGGCGGCACTCCTACACCCTTCGACAGAAACTTTGGCACAAAGATGGGTGCCAAGGCAGTTCTGTGGCTTACTGACAAACTGAAGGAGTGCTATAGGCATGGTATGTGCACTTAAAGCCAAACTCTGTGTTATATATGATGAAATATGCCGTTGTTTAAAGTTTTGAAGTAAAGTTTCTTGAATCTGATATATTTATATGTAGAGTTAATTTCATGTTGTAAAGTCATAGCAAAGAAAAAGTACACCTTCTGTCAGTTCTAAGTCTGTACATATCAAAATTTAATAAAAATAATCTAGCCCTCAGCAGGCCTTAAAATGAGGTTAATAAAACATACGATAAACAGCAACTCGTGACCTGTTACATCATCTTGGGATTTATTTGACAAATGTGTGAAAAAGAAGGTAAATAGCAGCCAGTTGCTGCCAATCTTGCACTTGATTAACTGATCATCTTTAAGTGTGAGCACTTCTATAAAAGCAGAGCTTTTGGCAGTTTTCTGCTCTGCAGCATTCAAATGTGTGTTAACATGACGCCAAGGAGGAAAGACATCAGCAGAGCTGTTAGAGGAGCAACTGCTGCTGCCCGTCAGTCAGATAAAGCCCATCATTCTACAGTGAGGATTGCTCTCCAGTGGGGATCACTCAGAAAAGCTCCCAGTATTTCCATGAGTGGATGTCCCAGCAAATTTACCCCAAGGTCAGACCATGCAATCCTCAGAGAAACTGCAAAAAACCCAAGTGCTACATTTCAGACTCTATAGGCCTCAGTTAGCACGTTAAATGATGACTTGGATTTGCAAAATTGCATCTAAACAAACCACAAAACTCCTAGAACAATGTCCTTTTGAAAGACATGACCAAAGAGGGAGATATTTGGCCATAATACCCAGTGCTGTGTTTGGTCAGAAGAGACACTTCATATCAGCGGTCAAGCACGGTGGTGATTTCAGCTTGTTTTGCAGCCACAGGATCAGGGCACCTCTCTATTGAAGTATTCTACAGTTAAATGTGAGGCCATCTGTGTAACAGCTAAAGCTGGGCTGAAACTAGCTCGCACAACAGGACAATGATCTCAGTCACACCAGCTAATCTACAACACAATAGATGGAAAAGAAAAGAATCAAGGTGGTGCAATAGTCTAGTCAAGGTCCAGAGCTGCCATAAATATGTGGACATTAGAAAGACTGATACAGTGATACATAAAACTGCTGTACAACGGGGTGAGCTTTAGTTCTTCAAACAATGCTTCTGCTTTTTAATTTAGTTTTGGTTAAATAAACAATGAAACTGTGAAATTGTTCACAGAAACTGAAAAGGGTGCTGTTTTTAAAGCTGCTGAAGACCAGATGATTGTTTTTACGTTCAATGCTCTAATATGTAAAAGCTTCCAAGTGGCCGAACCAAACAACAATCGTGTAGCAGATCTACGTCATGTTTTGTCATTCTAAATGTACATTTTTCATACATAATCATATGTTATGAATATTCCTTTCAGTAAATCATGTGGAATGTGAATCATGAATGAGTTAATCAGTTTGTCTTTGGGGCTTTTAGGTCGTATCTTTGCTAACACAGCAGACTCCGCTTGCGTGCTGGGAATGAGAAAAAGGGCACTCACCTTCCAACCTCTCGCTGAATTGAAGGAAGACACAGATTTTGAGTATGATATATATTTTCGAGCTCACATGTTGTAAGAATATAAGTACAATAACAAGCATCTGAGTGAATGATCCCTCCCATCTGTTGCAGGCGCCGCATCCCTAAGATACAGTGGTGGCTGAAAATCAGGCCCATCATGAAGATCTTGGCTAAATATGACATCAAACTGGACACCTCTGAACACGCCGACTTGGAGCATGTGATCAAGAAGAGTAGCTTTCTTGGGAAGTAGACGCCATCTGCTCCCTGTTAGCACGCAGTTGGACAGGGGGATTTTGTTCTTTTCCATAAACAAACTTATGTTTTCTTGTTTAACCATCTGTCTGCCTCAGTAAAAGAGCTGCTATCTTTCCTGTCCTGATTGTTTGCTTCCTCTTTGTAGCCCTCCTCATCCTGAAAAGCTTTTCCTGAATACACAGTGCAGAAGAAAACAAGCCATTAAAGATGACTGATAATCCCCCCAAAACACTGTGTTGTTGGTGATTAATGCCAATTAATGTGAACTGTCCAGAGAAACTAGCAGACTAATTTTTAATTTACACTCTATTTTGGAAATGGTGTCTGATCAAAACCCATAAAGCGAACACAGTGATTAAAAGTTTACATATTTAGCAACTGCGTGACCTGATGATCATCTAGACGTCATTTAGTGTTTTTGTTTTGTTTTTCCTTGTAGCCACAATAAATTGTACCCGTTACACCTATACATATGAATTTTAGGTCACTGGAAGCGCTGATATAATTACACCTAATGCATCTGAATTAGTAAGCCTCAATCACAAATCTTTAGAAAACGTCCTTTACTCCAAGAGGTTCTTGCCCCCGAAAATTTTGAACCCCAACTGAAAACCATTGATGTCTGGTAAAAGCAGCCAGCTATAATAACGTGATCCATCGGTACACATTCAGCCTCCTTTTCTTTATCCTGATTTTGAACAATACTTGAGCTGGGTGCAGCTAAAGATGGACTCATAGCGATCTGTTTAAATATCCTCTGCACATATTCAAACACAGATATATTATTCTCTGAATAAGCTCTGTTTGTAAGGGTTTGTCATAAAAATAAATGTATGTGGAAAAAGCCAAAACAGAAAGAGATTACCTATGTTTAACGAAGAACTGTGACTACAACTGAAGCAGCCTTTGTTTTGTTTCATTTGTTTGTAATACATTTTGGTAAAATTCCTGGTAACAAATGTTATAACATGTTAATAAAAGCTTTGTTTACTGACTTATTCTTTTGAGGCATTTACTAATTTATGGTTTTGCTGAAATTCCCATATCGCTGTGATGATATGTAGACTTGAAAAGAACAAATGAGTGATTTATAGAACCCTGGCCTACTCGCTCGCCACTTTTTTAAGTACACACGTTTAACTGCTTTTTAACATAAATAGCTAATCAGCCAGAGAAGTAACTTTAACCTCCTAAGACTTGAGCTCTTCCATGGCATGCATTTTTAATATTTCCTTGATATTTGGGCATATTGGGACCTCATGAATGTAATAACAAAGAATTGCCAGATCTTTTTTTTAACCTCATTTTTATTTCTGACAAAAATGAGATCCACATATGAGGACATTTGTTTTAAATTTTGATAGAACAGTGGCAGTAGAATGTCCTCCTAAGTGGATATCAGGCACTTGTAGAGAAATATTAGTGTTTTTAGGTCTAGACAATCCAAAATGTGATGTCCACATATGTGGACGCAAGGTCCTAGGAGGTTAAATGTGATGTGGTTGTTTGTGTGGGGCTGTGTATGTCAAGAATTGCTGATCACATGTCTATGGTTTCCAGATAATGGTCTGAAAAAGAGAAAATATAAGTGAGCAGCAGTTCCCTGTGTGAAACTGCTTTGTTGATGTCAGAGGAGAATGGCCGCTTTGAGCTGATAGGAAGGCAACCAGTCACTCAAATAACTATAAGTTAAAACCCAAATATGTGAAAGAGCATCTCTGAATGTATAACATGTCAAAACTTGAAGCAGATGGAGGCCACACCGAGTGCCACTCCTGCCAGCTAAGAACAGGAAACTGAGGCTAATTTGATAAAATGCAAGATTGTAAGAATCCTGATTGGTCTGATGAGTCAGAGCATTGATCCATTCTGCTTTGCACCAAGCTGTGTAGTGTGCGTCAAACTCAGGTTAAAATTCAGAAAATTCTGGGTTTTTCAGTAATGATATCTGAAAATCTTAGCAGGTCTCTGTGTCTTTTGTCAAGCACATGTTTGGGGCAGCACAAAAATACCCCCAGTCCCTGAGTGCTTTGTTTTGAATGGTACATAAACACTGGAGCCATTCTCATTCACAATGTTGATAATCCAATTATGGATCCATAATTACCAGCATAATAGAATGTTACCTATCTTTGAGAACCCATTTTCGGGTTAATGAAATTTATTTTAATCATCTGTTCCTGATTACATCTAGAGCAGGGTGCCAGGAAATCTGATTACGTCACAGCGCTCTCCTTTTTACTTCTGTTGCTGCCACACAAAAGGTCCCAAATCACTCATTATTCCTGCTGGTAATCAACAAACTGCCTTTTCACAATGTAATCAGCACAGTAACTGAAACTGAAAGCCTATACTTCAGAGAATTGCAGCAGGCTGGTGGCCTGTATATAAAGCTTATGCAGCGCCCAACATAGTGCTGCATTTAAGCTGCATTTATTACAAGAAGTAATAAGAAATAATGAAAACACGCATGAAGGGTGAAATGGCCTACAGCACAAAAAAGGTATGTGTCCCAGTGTGTGTCTTATTATTTATGTATTTATGTCATGTATTTCTTATGGTTTAAAGTCAGGAAAATAAGTTCAGATTCTCTGGTACTCGAAAAATAACATTATATGGATTTCACTTTATTTATTCTTTAAAAAACAAAACAAACAAAAGACAGCGACTGGGTCTCGATGTAAGTGCTCTTACTAAAGAAAAACTACAGTGTAAATCCGGAAAAGGAAATAGCGCCGTAGAGGTCATCGAGTTCTCGCGGTGGCAGCCGGGACTTCGGCGGACTGTGTGCCTGCGCTGAGGAAAGGTGCGTGTCCCCAGTGTCCGCTCCGGTCGCCCGGTTAGGAATGCGCCTCACGAACCCGGTGTGTGCTGTAGTATTTGACGAAACGCCAGTGGGGACCGCCGTTTAAGAAGAGTCATGGTTTGGCACTGCTTGTACCATTAGTTTCTCGGCGTGTGAGCTTGATTCATTGAGCTAGCTAGTCGTTAGCCCGCTTCGTTGATTCATACGCACGCTAGCTTCAGTCTGTAGCATACCCGCTAGCCGGTTAGCCAATCCAGAGTCGAGTAGGAGAGAACCAGACTGACTGCTGAACTCAGCCGGCGTTTCGGGGAGAAGCGGCGGCGGTGGTGGTGGCAGGAGGGGGCCGGGAGAACGCGACGGGGTGGAAGTGAGTCAGGAGCGGCTGATGAGTTCAGACCAGAGCGGAGAGCCGCCGCTGCTGCAGGAGGAGGCTGATCCCGGACCGAAGACCGGTGGGAAGGACGAGGCTCCGCTGGGGAGCGAGGGAGGGTCAGGCGGCATGGTGAGTGAGGCCTTCTTTAGCGTGTTAGCTTACTGGCTAAGCGACTGCCGCTTTCTAACAGGGAGACCTGTTAGCACAGTACGCCCCCTCTGCGTAATTAGCTTTGTTATTTATTACACATCTAAAATTAACTCAAACAAGATCAAGAATGAAACTTTGAGCGCGTTTGTGAATGTGTGTGAGTTTTTGCGTGACTGTTTTGTGACTATGTGAGAAAGCAGGACCAGAATCAAAGACTTTCACGACTACTTACTCTACTTGCTGCCAGTACAAGCTTTACTTTTACACACTTGGTGATGGTGGCTGTGTGTGTGTGTGTGTGTGTGGGGGGGGTTATAGCAGTAGCTCTACCGCAGCTCATTCAGATAGCTGCTAACTGTAGCTTAGCCGTTGTAACCAGCAAGCTCATTAAGTAGTTTGCTGAGTAATCATTAGCCCGTAAGTTAAGTTTTGACAGAGCTTTAGGGTGACTGCGGTGGTATTTGAAGCGGGCACGCGCCGAATCAGTTTTGTTTCCGTTAGCGGGTGAACGATGCTTCAATTACTGGCCGAATGATAGTGTTCATTCACTCCGTTATCTGTGAGCTAATCGCGGTGCTAGCAGACCTAGCTAGCGCAGTGACATGCGTTGCAAATACCTGGCCTTTGCTGCGCAGCGCAGTCAGCTGACATTGCTTGGCTCGCTGTGGCCTGTAACACAGAAGCGTGCATTGTAACCATGTGTCAAGTTGCACCGCACATAAATGTCCGCGCTTGTCTGAATGGCACAGAGGCCTCTCCTATGGGTATACATCCCGTTCTTGTTGTGTGATCGGGGAGGAGAAGTGCCCTGAGCCATACTACCACCGGCAGCTGCTCTTGTCAGGCCAAGTGCTTTTGCAAAAAAGAGCCAGGATCTGTTAGCAGGTGGTGAATGACAATGTGAAGTAAATCTGACAGTTCAGCAGGAAGCTGCCATCCACTTTACACAAGATTAAAAGCACAGTCCACAGTTAGCTCACATCAAGATCACATCGGTGTCTGTAGATCTTAATGTGTCAGTGTGCAATCTATTCTTGGCCACAGATCCTTGCAGGGTCAGGATTTCTTCTGCCAGACCATAGCCGGTTTGGTATGGAGAGTCACATCAGATCTGTGGATAACATACATGGGAAATAAATTTATGCTGGTGAAGGTAACATGTAACGTGTTCGTTTGCAAATATTTTGACTACACACAGCTTTTATAGTCACCCCTCCTTGAGGTGAACAGGGTAAGGGTTGATTTTGTTGACAGGAGATCACAAGGCCTTATGGGGACATGTGTCACTGGGATGTTCCAGCCATCAGTATAAATTTAATCAATGAAAATCAGCAGACATAGCTGTAGTTGGCTATGACCCATCTACAGCTCCTCTCTTAGTCTATTATGGTGTTGTTGAAGACCATAATTTAGTTTGGCTTTGTTGTCCCCTGGTGTCAGAATCAAAATATTTTATTAATATCAGAGGGAAGTAATTTTCATTCAGATGCACACTTAAAACATAAATGGGGTAAAATACAAATGAAATATAAAATATAAACAAAACTGGATTAAACTAAGGCACTCAAACTGCCATATTAGAACAATACTATAAACATTATAGACAGTGTATTAGTTATAACAGTCTAGGTGTCATAAGGGGGAGTTATAAAGTTTTTTGGCCAATAGTAGGGGTGATTTCATGTGGTGTTTTTGTGGTGTATTGTGGTTGAATGAGTCTTTTGCTGAACATGCTCCCATGGCTGTCCAGCACAAGGTAAAAAGGGTGTGAAGAATTGTTCAATATTGACTGTAACTTTGATTGCATCCTCCTTCCTTAAACCTCTGCTGGAGTAAGGGCAAACATGCCATGAGACGTGCAGCAGAGGTCTAAAATTTAAAACTCTGTTTCTTAAAAAGGAATAAAAAGCAACCGGGGGGAAAAAGAAGCAAAACTCAGGTGACAGATGTGTAAATGGTCACACATTTGTTAGTCAAAAGAGCCCTTATTTGAATGCGTCTTACGTTTGAAGAACCACTAAAAGCATTAAACAGATGAAACGTTGTGTGCATTTCAGTGCTTAAATATAAACTCTTAAATTTCAACAGTAAAATTTAGATAACTGACAACCTACCTCTGCTCAAAAATAAACATCACTCTGCTTTCAGTGTTTGTCGGAACCAAATTTGATTGATTCTCCTCTTTCTGTTTTAAAGGTCACCTTCAAGGGTGCTGGTTTGAATCCTAATGCCAAGGTGTGGCAGGAGATGCCCGTGGCCCCCAGCGAGACCGTTACCAGCAACCCTCATTGGTCTCCCTCGGATCTCAATGAGGGTAAGAAATGAAAGAGAATGCTAAACTGATTTTATTGCGCTTTACAGCACGTGTTTGGAAATTAAGTTTGAAGGCTTTTTTGGGAAACTGGACATTGTGACACCCATGTCTACTCATGGGATTATTTCCCCTTTTTGAGTCAACACTCCTAACGTTGTTATTGGTGTTTTAAAATAATTTTGGGGCCTTACTACTTTAAAAAAAAATAAAAAAAATTCTTAGATAGCATCTGTATAAGTTGCAACTTTATTCATGTACACAAACAATAAATAGCTAAACCATCAAAGATGTGGGTAAGTTTGAAATAGACTGCTCTTTCTGAATCAGACTCTTTACCTTGTTCACAGGTTA